TTGTTTCTTTTCTTTTTCCTCCAACAACTGCTGTAATCTCTCTTATTGTTTCTTTTCTTTTTCCTCCAACAACTGCTGTAATTTCTCTTCTTGTTTCTTTTCTTTTCCTCCAACCACTGCAGTAATTTCTCTTCTCATTCTTCTTGTTTCTTTTCTTTTTCCTCCAACAACTGCTGTAATATCTCTTCTTGTTTCTTTTCTTTTTCCTCCAACAACTGCTGTAATATCTTTTCTTGTTTATTTTCTTTCTCCTCCAACAACTGCTGCAATCTCTCTTCTTGTTTATTTTCTTTCTCCTCCAACAACAGCTGTAATCTCTCTTCTTGTTTATTTTGCTGTTCGAGCTGCCACTGTTGCAGGTTTTCTTGCAGCTGCTGTTGTCTCTCTTCTTGTTTCTTTTCTCGTTCATTTTCTCGTTCTTCTTGTTTCTTTTGTTGCTCTTGTATTGCTGCCATCAAGTCTGCTAAACTGTAGTTTGATTTTCCGCCTCTCGTTTCCATTTTTTTTTCATCCCACTTCTGACACCAATTTGTCACGTCTCGTTTGTTAATTGATTTTCCGTAACTTCGTTCCGACGGAAACTTTAGCGACACAAGTCCTTACTTAATAAAACTGGTTTATTCTTTCTGAATATAACTTTACCGATACACTTATTTTCAACAGTCGCTCTTTTACAAACGTTTTAACAATGAACGTTAACTTCAACAATACTTCCTCACTGCAGTTCAATTACTCACTACCTACACACATTATCGCGTCACGCCGTCACCCTCTTATATATATACCAGACTACCCTATATCTAGTAAATGCTAGGGCATTCACGAAGGAACAAGATAGTTCTAGAAACGTGGCATGACACTAGTCACGTGACCTCGCTGACGCAACAATATATATAGTTTGACCAAATACCCAGAATTAACCTTGACATTGACTTTGAGACTAGTGGGGAGGAGCTCAAGTTGGTTTGATCGTTTAGAACTTTTTTCTGGATTTGTTTTTAGACTTCTATTTATTTTTTAAATTTCCAGTCTATCTAGTTTTTACCTTTTCCACAGATATGTAAAATTTTGCAGTTTTTATCCAGATCAAATTGGTGTTTACTTTCAATAAGGTGGGATAGAAAGGTTGAATCCATTTTCCTTAATTTCCAGCTTCTAGAATGTTCATTAATTCTCGTTTCTATGGAATGTCCTGTTTGACATATGTATACACTATTACAGTCTTGACACGTTAGTTGGTAAACACTATTATTGCTGTACTTTTATATTTTGTCTTTGTTGTTACATAACATTTTGCCAAGATTGTACAGTCGAATAAAGCAACGATATTTTCCCTATTATAGTCTTCATGGTGGATGAATTCGGCCGTGCTTATGTCATCTAACATAAAGATGCAAATAAGTTATTTAAAAAAACAACAACAATTATATACTTCAAATATTGTAACAGTTAACTCTCTCCCCTAAAAGGGTGTATCCAGATGAAACCTTATTGTAACCTTGCATGTTAGCGTTCTTTCTGCCGCAGCCTTTTTAACATAATAATTTGATGTGTGTGTACAGCAAAGCCACATCGGGCTATTTGCTGTGTCCACCGAGGGGAATCGAACCGCTGATTTTAGATTTGTAAATCCAAAGACTTACCGCTGTTCCACTATCGTAACACATGTTTGTTAGAGGTTTATATTAGTATAAACTGAACTACTGAATAGATTGAGATGAGTTTCCTGCATTTTTTTCCCTCCTTGTTTGTATTCACGAAATTCGTTTTTACTAAATTCATAAATTCTAGTTTGCAGTTTAGATTCTTCGCCATCAATCAATCGAAATCATGGTTGGCTTAATTTAATATTTATTTTTATCATTACTACAACACCAGTGTTTCACTAATCTTTAATCACAGTAATATCGTTGTGTAGTTCTTTCCATGTCGCGTGTGTAAATAATTATTCTTTTTACAATTTCAAATTAATTCCAACATTTATTATTTATTTTAAGTTCTGCTGGACTGAAGATTGTGAAGAAGGCGAAAGCCGAATCGTTCAGAAAAATAATACAAACAATTTAACATCCGAAGTTAGTCGTTTGTTTATGTATTTATTTTCTATTTATGTTTAAAAAACGTCAGGCAACGTTACACAATTTATTAGAAAGTATTGTTATTTTATCAATAATCATGTATATTTCTGTATGAAAAAATAGTCATTCGGTTTGTTTCAGGTGGAAAAGAAAATTATCTTTTTATTTGATTATTTGAATTGACAGTCTAACTTATTTCAGTAATTCCGTATGTTACCTGCCTTTATTAAAAATCTGTGTCGTTTGAGTTGTAAATTTATTGGTGTTTTTAAATTTAACATGTAAAAAATATTAAACCAATCTCTAACTTTAACAACGATTTTTGTAAGTGTTATTATAGAGTTATAATTTTAAGTAATAGCTAGAGCTCAAACCATAAAGTTTACCTTTTTAAAAAGTTATTTTAGTGACAGTAGTCAGTAATGTTATTATTGTTAATGTTTTAATCGTTGTCATTGTCATATGACTATTGAGTTAAACTCAAAGTTGTCACTTGTAAGTTTTACTTTTATCATAATTCACATCTTATTGTTAGAATGATGCACAATAGTACACGATACAAACTTTGAGACACTGATGACAATATTGATAATGATAGTATTACTATTACTAATCACAATGACTCCGAATAAGTTGTAATGAAGTTGTATGTATTGTAGTTGTACTAGATTTAAATTTAATTAAACATTTAAATTTAAAGGCTCCCCTCACTTAGGGCCTAAGCAAGTCATCAACATCAAGTTCTTACCTTAGCCCAGGCTTAGGATGGAGTCTTAAAAACGATTTTTTTGTTTTACACAATTTATAATGTCTTCAAATAAATTAAGAAATAAGTGTCATTGCAAATTGTTTTACCCAGTTACATTATAACCTTATAGTTATAAGTTATAGTACATTTATGGTAACACAAACAAACAAATAAACAAGAAGAGACTTGAGAATATTGATGACTTACATTACAGTTTGACTGTTTTAGTGTTTACACATTTTTTTAAATGCTAAATATTCTACATTACTTAGAAGTTTTAAGAAAATGCTAACACATTCCATTCATGTTTTGTCCATTCAAAAAATTATGTTACTATTTGCATGCAAGTATCCATTTAAGAGCTTTAAATTTTTTCTACTTTGAAAATTGTTGTTATTATTTTATAAATTTCATTCTGAGACATGTCACACTCACAGCTTGGATTGCCTCATTTCACAAAGTGAAGTGTTAATAAGTTTGAAATTTATCATTTGTTGCAAAATATTCAGTATTTTTAATTTTTAAATATTTTTGTTATTTTGGTGTTTTTGTGTGGTAAATCTTATTGTTAATTTATTTTTATAAAACTAATCTAAAACAGTAAATTATCTCTTGTGATAAAAGATCATAAAATATTTTACACATAGTGATTTTTAAGCTCCTTTTTTCAATGAAATTTGTTTGTTTACTACTAGTTAAAACTCAGTCATTTCTTAATCATTAATGTTAATTTTTACATAACATTTAAAAGCCATCTTTAGTGCACATTCCAGATTTAAAAAATATATAATCAAAGTTTCAGTTATGAATCATTAAGTTCAAAACAGCAAAATATTGTATTAGTTAATGTTTGTAGAAAGACTTAATCTGTTTATTCTTGGTTGAAACCATAATGTTTAACTGTTTTAGAATGAAAAATGTGAATAACTTCTTGTGAGTTTTTTGTGTGTGTGATGTGGAAAAGTGAAGTGCTATTAGTGTTTTAAATACATATTTGACATTTTGATTTTACAAAGTTGTTATTTAAATTTTGCAGTCATTGCTGACATAATGGCACTAGAGTTTTTATTTGGTCGTCGTAAAACTTCAGAAGAGATGCTTCGACAAAATCAAAGAGCTTTAAATAAAGCTATGAGAGATCTAGATAGAGAGAGAGCAAAAATGGAACAGCAAGAAAAGAAGTTGATTATAGATATTAAAAAGATGGCAAAGGATAATCAGATGGTAGGTTGATGTGTCTGCAAAATTTGTCATTATTTTGTTTATTCTTTACAGTATTTTTGTGCTTAAAATCTAAACATTCTTTGTGAAACAAAGGTTACTTTTATAGTGTCAGCACTAATCCCATAATTTTTCTATTATTAAGTTTTAGTATATTAATAATTTTATATTTATAAATACAGTTTTTGGGCGGACTGTTTTAACAATTGATGTTTATTATGCTGACATGTTTTAATTTCAGAAGTATTATAAACATAGTTATTCTAGTTTTTAACAAAAAATTGTAATTCTATTACCAAAATAGTTTTTCTGTCATTATGAGGAACATCTGTTATAACAGAAGAGACAGTGTTCTAACTTGCATTTTTTTATATGTGTATAAACTGTATGATGTTCAGAGTATAGAATCAAGGCTTAATAAAATACAACTGCTTAACAGCCCAGATGTAGTGGACTACTAAAATATTAATGGACACCACATTTAGGTGGGAAGTTTCTGAAAGTTATATAATATCATGCTCAATAATCAAAGAAATTTCTACCACAAAATATTATTATTAAATCAAAAATATTTGTGTGAGAGATGTTGCATTATTCCATTATGATCTATTTGTTCACTAATCACTGAAGCAGCCATTAATACCAAAAGAGAGCTTAACGTGCTCATCACCATTGGGTCACGTTATCAGTATAGACCTGTTGAAGTATGGTTTCATGGGGGAACTGACAAGAACAAAGCCAAATCACCTAAAATTAACTATGAATACAGGAAGGTCAGAAAGTTTTTTGAATTATGAAGGAAGACATTTCATGCGAGGGCCGGTGTAAAGTTTTGCAAATTAAATATTGCCAAGGGCAATTGAGTGCAGTATATAAAGACTGGAGCAAAGTGAACACAATATTAGATGGTAAAGATGAAGATCGAGAAATAGCTGTTAGTGTCAGCAGAGGTAAGTATGTTTGGAAATACGTTTTCAGTTTAGGAAAATGATATCTTCCACAAAGTATATCAAAAGTTGACATTACATATGTGATATGTTTTTAACTTTGGATATTTTTTATTGAATTGTTGATAGTTTTATTTCAACTTAGTTTGAAATGATTTGTTCCAATCTTTTTTTGGTGTTTTGAGGTATACCTTTTTTTTCCAAAGGTTTTTTTGGTTATTTGGACAAGAAAACAAGATGTGATCTTAGTGTACTTAGGTTTTTCAAGAATCTTAATTTACTACAGTGTCTAAGAAAATTACATTCATAGGTGTTGGGGAAAGATTAGTTATTATAGGGTGTTTGGATGGGAGAAAGTAAAAAGCTTTTATTAACGGAGTCCAGTCAAACTGGACCCATGTTACCAGTAGAATACTGTAGATATCAGTCCTTGAGCCTTTGCTCTTTTTTATATTTACATTAATAATATAAATAGGAATATAATTAGTACATTAATAAAGTTTATTGATTATATTGAATGGGTATCTCTAGCTGTGTTACAGGATGACTTGAATAAATCAGCAAGTTAGATAAGTCTTTGGTAAATGACTGTTAATTAAGTGAAAGGTAATGCATTACGGTCATTATAATTTGGATCACATGTTTATTATAGATAGGGAACCCACTCTATAACATGACAGAAGAAAATAATTTTGGCTTTGTGGTGGATAAGTCACCAGGCCAACAAATCAGTGCTTTGTTGCTAGTAATAATGGCAAAAGAGTTTATATTAACTTCTGATCAGAGCCAACTAACTACTTAGAGCAAAACTAAAAATTAACCTGGTAATGAATGTAGATAATAAAATATACTTTAATTAAATTCTTACTTACATAGGTTAGAATGCATTGTTTCATCAGTTGGGTACCCTTGCTGTTAACAATATTTTTGGCTGTAATCCCAAATCTCTATAACAAAAGTCAGACACAGTTACAGAATATTTTGAAGGGTGCGGTTAAGCCTGCAAATGGGCATACATATAAGAACAACAATATATTTGTGATTTTGAATGTACATTTGTGATTTAACAATCTGAAATGAATGTAGGGTCAATAGGCAACATTGAAAATAGAGGTTTTCATAACATGCTTGTTTTAAATTTGCACTTTTTTATCTTGCTAAATATATCTTTAGGTATAAGATGCTGATAAATCTTTAAAGTAACATAATTCTTATGTATTAGAGCAATTTGATGTGTGCATAAGGATAATTTTGAAACAGTGTTCATCGGTATTTTTATATTTATCATATACAAGTTACACATACACTTATTGACAAAATTGACAGCATTTCACAATGGTGTCTTCCTACAAATTCATATATAAACAACTTCAAACTTAAAAAAAGAACTATATATATCAAATGCATACAAGAGACTATATAAAAACAAATTTCACAATTAATGCACAAAACTATAAACTAAAGTATTATTCCAAATTCACAGTTTACAAGTGCATTCAACATTGTAACAGTTTCTGGTTTCATGCCAATTGAAAAATGTGGTTATACAAATAAAAGTGCATGTGCAAATGCGAATGATTTTCCTGACACCTTTGGGAAATAGAGTCTGTAGCTCGCAGTACCTCTGTCGAGTCAATTAGACTCTACTTCAGGTGTAGGATTTACTCACAAAGGGAAAATGACATAATGAAATTTCTATAAGGATGTTGTTTTTAATAATGATTATTTTGTCAGATTTCAGAAAATCCAAAAATGGTGAAAAATATAGGTGTTGCATATTGAGAGCATATTGCATTGAAAAGGGTGGGGTTCAAATCCCCACCCCTGTATCTGCTACTTAAAGTATAACAAAAAATAATAAAATTAAAAACAATAAACATTCTTACCAATACTGTTAATGAGAGTAACATTAAAGAAATAAAAGAGTATATCCTACTTACAGAACACAAACATTTGCTGTTAGTTTCATGAACTCTTGCAGATTTAATACGAGTTGAACAATGTAACATCAGTATAACCTCATATAAGCAAAACCTTTACACAGTTCTCCCTAAAATTGTCTTTTGACTAATGGAAACCCATTAAACAACCCCAACAGTGTAACTTTAGAGAAGTTTGACATCTGATATAAATTATTATCACATGTTACTGTTTAGGTGTGGAGTCATGTGGCAGGACAATATAAAGAGTAAAGCAAAAAATTGAGGCTTATGGCGAGACAGAATAATAAATAATAAATTGAATGAATATATTGGTTCTAAAATAAATAGCTAGAATATTGTTTCTGTAATGAAGATATAACAATTTTTAATATCATACAAAGAAAACATATGTTAATTATACTAGTTGTGTCTAACACAACTACTCAAAATTTTAAGGGATCACTTTCACTTATCAAAACACATGGAGTAGACAACAGGAAGCATTAAATATAGTTAAATCTCTAAAAGCCTTGTAAGCCCCGAGAAAGTTCAGTAATAATAATAATAATACTTAGAAAGAAAAGTAAATTGTAAATATGGCAAAGAAAGTAATTAGCAAAAATTAATGTAACTTATCTAATTAAATTGTAGACATGAAAGTTTTCAAGTTGTGCTGTAAAACTACTAAACCTGTAATAAGTAGCAAGAATATTGTTGAATTCTCAAAAATTTGTGAAAAACAATAGTTTACTAGCTGTATCCAAGAAGTCTTGTAATATTAAATACATTATATTGTATCTAATAAGATATGAGTAGCAATGTAAAAATTCTTCAGTGTTTCTTCTTTCTTTCAGGATGCAGTGAAAATCATGGCTAAAGACCTGGTCAGAACTAGACGCTATGTTAAAAAGTTTATGTTGATGAGAGCAAACATTCAAGCTATTTCACTGAAAATTCAGACATTACGATCACAGAATTCTATGGCTCAGGCAATGAAAGGAGTTACAAAAGCTCTAAAAAATATGAATAAACAGGTAAATAATTGTTTAAACATGTATCGTAGTAAACATTTTCTAATGTTATCAGGAATAGCAGAGAGTTAAGTGAGAAGGTTTTTTACATTATAATTAATATTTTAGAACCAGTTAAGTCTTTAAAATGCTGTAATGTTGAACGTGTCTAGTCTCTTTTTAAAACAGGTTTTTAGGCCTGAATCTAAGCTTTATTTATTATACCTAAATTTGACAGTTCATTGATATATATTACTTTATTGTTTGCAACTGCTTAGTCACATGCTTGTAGATTATTACGGTTATTGATTCTCATGTGATCCTTTTTTAAATTAAATTGTGGTGAAAGGTTGTGAATAAAATAAACAAAAATCTTACTATGTACAACCAAAAAGAAACTTGTGGGAATTTAATAACATAGTTTTTTTCTAATTTTTAATAAAATTATGAATTGTATCAGAAGGTTGAATCAAATAAAAAAATAATTATGGTGTACACAAAATGGATATCTAGTAATGTAATTGATGAATGAAAATTAAGTGTAATGAATGACTGAAATTTCTTTTTTCAAAATTTGGGTATTTCAGTTGCTCATATAAAAGCATAAAGGTCACATAGTGATCATTATCATTTGTATGAAGGAATTGATGCTAGAACAGATTCTGTTGTGGGATACTAAAACTCCTATATTTGATAGGAACCATGTCAAGCCAGGTTGGTGCTGCCACACCCTCAACACCCCTAGTTTTAGCATCCTTGTATAAAGGGATACGTTTTGAACTTTACATGACTTTTCGTAACACAAAGTATATTTATGTAGTGTGTAGTAAATACTTAAAAAAATCTTAAAATTTATTTCCAGACACTTTTTTATACAAAAAGGCTTTCATAACAATAGAAACATAACACTCCATTAACAAGCATAAAGCATGGATTTCAGTTATTTTAAGCCTACCTTATTTTAATATGTGCAAATACTGTGTGAGGTTTTTAGACATCTACTTTGTGGATCTTTGTTTTGTTATTTTGTAGACATACAGTCATACTTTTCTATTTATTTCCATTTTAAAGGAACATTTTGATAGGAGCTGATCCACCAGGGTTGTGATAGGGAGAGATACCTCTGATCTTATAGTCTTTTAAGATTTTTAAATTCTCTACATTCTCTCTTATATGAAAGTGTTGATTTTTTATTTTCCCCAAAAAAATAAACAAAAAAAACTAGAAATGTCACAGCATTTTGATGCTTAACTTTCTTCAAAATGTATGTACCTTGTGACTTTTTAGTATCAAACTAGTGAAATGTGAGAGGTGACACTGAGAACTTAAGTATGCCATGTGAACAGCCTTTAAGAACAAGACTGTCCCATATAGCCAATACAAAACAAAATCATAATAATGAAGGGAACATGACCTTCCTTGAGGGTAGAAAGGTCTGAGGGCAAGTACTTAGTTCTCCCTCCATCCCCTGATATTGTGGTTCATACTGGGAGGTTTACTGCTCAGTTACATGAAGGGACATCTATGCATTGTTTGCCATGTTTGTCGGAGCAACATGTTTTAGCCTACAAACACCAGGTGGACACTTATTTAGATTCTCAAAGAATCCCACTCCTTGATATTTGGGGTTCCAGAATGGAGTCTGTGGTCAACCTGAGTAGATCACATTTTTCTTGAATTTGTATGACCCTAACTATGGTGTTAAGGTATTTATTACTCCTCCAACTTTTCTCAGAAGCTTCTCAGAGACCACTACATCAAGTTGGTGATGAGTTGAGATCATTGTTAGCATCTACCTTGGTTCGATTCTCAGCTTCTGCACTTTCCCTAGTCTCTTGACTGGTATTTTGTCAGGATTTGTGGGGTAGAGATGCATTGTTGGAGGGATTTCGTATACTGGCTACCACCCTCCACAAGTTCTATAAGGCTCCATTCTCTGACCCTTGATATTTGTGGGTGTTCCAGAGTCTTTGGAATCAAGGATTGATGTCGCCCATCTGCATTCATCCCTGTTATCATTGGCTTCTTTACTTTTCTTGGCTCCTACAGGTATCATAGCTCTGCCTCTATTCAAATGTCCCGACACCAGAAATCACCACCACAGTCCATTGGTACCCAGCAATAATGCTACTGTATACCTTTGGGAGTTTTTTGGGGCTTGACTTTGAGAATTTCTGGTTGTGTGGAACACATTTACCAGAGATCAATGGGTACTATAGGTACATGCATCAGGATTAGTCATTCAGTTCACATCTTCACAACCATTATCCACCCAACCTGTAGTGCTTCTGCCTCTCACAGATACTTGGATTCTGGAACTTCATTCAAAGGCAATTGGAGATTTGTTGGTTAAAGGGCCAGTGGAGGGAATTGCTCAGTAAGACAGGAGATTGGCTTCCAGTCATCGATCTTTCTCGTCCACATCAATTCCTAGATCCTTTAAGGTTCACAATGGAGTCATTCCTCACTCTGCATTGGAACTTTTTACCAGGATTGTGGATGACCAAGTTCAATGTTGCCAATGCCTATCTGCACATTCCCATAGCGGAGTTGTCCCACCACTATCTGAATTTTGTGTACAAGGGTCAGATTCTGCAGTTCATGGCTCTGCCTTTCAAACTAGCATTGACACCACATGTTCTGTCGAATCATGCGAGTTTTTTCATATCACCTTCATTCTCTAGGCCTGTACACATTCCATTACCTGAATGACTGGTTACTGCTGGCACCATCTTGCAGTTGGTGGAATATCACACCCAGATTCTACTTTCAGAAGCAACTAAGGCAGGCTTTATTATCAGAGCCAATAAATCTATTCTCATTCCACCACAATAGATCATCCATCTGAGTGCTTTTTCAACACATCTCCCAGTCAGGCTCAGTCAACTCCCATCAGGCTCCACACTTTGGCACAGACAGTCTGACTCTTACTTATGTCTCCTCCCACTGTGCAGATGGTTCTTTCTCTTTTGGAAAGATGGGCATCACTCAAATCCCTCATTCATTTGGGATGAGTGCACATGAGATCCCTTTAGTGATCTCTTCATGATCAGTGGATCATGAACAGTGATTCACTTTATTCCCCAGTCTCCTTATCCAAGATCAACATCTTCAATCTTCAGTGGCAGTTAGATCAGAACAATACCATGATAGGTGTTCCACTTCCGCTACCTTGTCCAGAGATCCATCTCTTCATGGATGTCATGCTTCAGGGATGGGGTACATGTCTCGACAGTCAGGAATTCCAGGACCTATGAATGGTCAACGAGGCTTCCCTACATACTTTTTTAAAGTTCTTGCTGTCCACAGAGTGATGTCTCAAGATCTGGACTTATTAAGTTGGATTTGCTCTCAGGCGGGACACTGTTGGTTGATGTGTTTGCCACTCATTGGAACACTCAACTACTGGCATTTTGGTCTCCGGTACCTCACCCTTGAGCATTGGCAAGAGATTCATTCAGTCAGTACTGGATGAGAATATACTTCTATGCCTTCTCACTGATTCTTGTGTTACCCAGAGTACTAGCTATGATTTGTTCAACCCCTTGTCAGGTTCTGTTGATAGCACCTGATTTGTCAGTTCAACCCTGGTTTCCATTTCTATGGTACCTTCAGACGTGCCCACCTCTTCCACTTCCTCATTGGCCATCTCTGTTGCAGCAGCCATGATCCAATATCATACACCCACCCATCCTAAAGCTCAAGCACAGCATTGGGATTTAACTTCTAAGTTTGCCATGTAACTGTTTCAGTCTTTGCATAGTCCCATGATAGACATTTATCAATAGAAATTGCATACATATTGACAATGGTGTATTGCAAGGAGGTGGAACCCACTTCATCCAAAAGTACTAATCATAACTTGTTTTTTGACCTGGCTCTTTGGCAAGGGTTTCACATTTTCCACAATCACCTTATAAAAGGTGGCCTTATTGACTACCTTTAGATACTAGAGACGAAAATTGTTTGAGTCCCCAGTGCTCTCCGGGTCCTTCGATCCTAAACGACCATTCCAGTTACCTAACTAGTATATTAAGGTGGTATTACATGCTCTTTCTCAACATCTGTTTGAGCCCTATGACACTGGCAGCCAAGGAATAGGGTAAATCCTTTTCACTGATTTAGCTGACTGCTATTCCTTACCTCTATGACCAATCGGATCCCCATTGTTTTTTCCAGAGAGGTTCTTGAAATGTTAGGTGTTGTCCACACTAATGCCTTTAGTGGTGTTAAACAATGATTTTTTGTTCATTGGGATCCTTCAGTTTTCTGGGAGTTATCCCCAGTTACTTTGTCAAGATGGGTATAAAAATTGATTCATATTGCTTAGTCTGGGCTATCTTTGGAGGTGAGGAGACTTCTGCAAGTCATGTCTCATCAGATTTATCACATTTCTATGCCCTCAGCAGTCTGGTTGAATTACCCACTGGAGGACATTGTGCAGGCTTTTATGTGGACCTCCTTTAACTCTTTCAGCATGGACTCGGTGCCTGGGACCAACCTCGTAACCATTTTGTGCTTGTTATAGTTTTCATGCTATAACTTTTAAATTAGTAAGTGTATGTTCACTAAATTTGGCATATTATCAGTAAACATTGCTAGGCTTTCTTACTCAAAATATCAGATTTTTTTTTATTAAGTCTTAAGGTTTGTTAAGCAATGTTTTTCTCGTGTCTTTTTTCATTTCACATTTTGCCTATCCAACATGCAAGGTATTTTTTTCATTTGAAGATTAAAAATGCTTTTATGCATCAGAAAATTTTCAAATTTCACATATGAATTCTCTATAATGTCCAGATACTGAGATAGTTATCAAACATTTCTTAAGAAAAAAACTTTATATTTTATATGTTATTTCTTTAACTAATCTCTGTACAGGTTCAGTCAATTTGACTGATCTCGTAACCACCCTAAAAAATTAGGAAATAAATATAAATTATGCCTTTTTCATTCTAGAATGACTGCAAATTATAACATGAAAACACAAATGTGATGACATGGCCTTTGACCCGTGACTTGTGTAGAACGGGTTAATACTTTTACCTCACATTATTTGCATGATCTACGAGGATCTTCCTCTGAGGGTTTTTAGACTACTCCCTGTAGCTATCTTAACTGCATCTGCCTAATTATAGTAAGGGATGAGTATCTTTATTACTAATATTGTCTATTCTTTACTTTCCAGAGTCCCTTACCTTTTTTTCACAGGATGCCACTTTCACAGGTGTGCTTTTATCAAATCAATTCCACACTAGCAACCATTAAAACTGTATACTTTATGTAGGTTGCAACAGGCTTTGTAGAAATGTGGTGTTCCATAAGACCAACTAGAGGCAGATCAGGTGATATTACTGTACTATGTTGGACTACCACTCTTGGACTATCATGAGTAAAGCATAAGGGTATCCGGCTTGTCCCTGCCGATCATTGAATTGAATAAATCAGGACAGTTTGCTTGGGAAAATTTAGGGAACTTGGTTCACCTATTGCACTACTTCCAGAGCATTGTTCTTCAGAACTCCCTAGTGTACATAACCCCCCAGATTCCACTGTTGGAGATAGGGAAACCTTACCACACCTGGTTTCCAGTCACTGGGGTGGTAGACAGAGGTTATTCCTCCAGAGTGTTCAAGTGAATTTCCTCCACTCTTGGAGAAGCTGGGGGCCCTCCTACCTGAGACCCTATATGTTTTGTTTTTTTCAGATGTGTGGTAGGAGAGGCACCAGCCTATGTGAGAGCCTACTCGTAATACCAGAACAGATTTGATGCTCAGTTATCTGGTAGGGTTGAGCTTTGCCCTTCTTTTTGATCAATATCGGTTCAGTGAATTGTTCATGGAAGAGGGTCCATTTGTCTCATCATGATTCCAAAAGCAGAATGCTTCCATCTTGGGTCCATGTTGAGCACTGTTCTTTATGTTCTCCCCATAATTCCAGGGACAAGTGGAATTTACCTTTTTTACATGGTTCAGGAATGAGGATGAGTGTTCGTAATTCCAGACCATAGAAGTTTTGTTTCCTAAAGTTGAGTGTGGCATACAGGATCCCATCATTCTGAGTTTGGAGTGTTGCCTTTCAGACTTCTTCAGGTTGAGGAGAAGGTTTGACCACTTTGGTGTTGCTTTTCTTCTCTTTGGGATTCTGGTGGTTCAGAACACATCACTCTATAGCTACAGGTTGAGATCCACTCACAAGTATATATATTGTAGTCCAAATGCCCTAGCCACCAACGTGGGATTTAGGGACCATGGCCCTATAATTCCAATCCCGAGCAGTGGAACCTCGGCTATCTGGTTGGGGCCTGGCCAGTAGTGATGGTATACCATGTGAAATTCCACCTGCAGTGCATGAATTAGGTTCTGGGTGAAGAGCATACCTGTTCTTAATGTAGTGAGGTTCCCCTACTAGGATGCTAATCTTCTGTTGGCACACACACACAATCTAGGCAGATGCATTCTGTATGGATAATGCCCTCATTGGCCCCTCTACCTTATCAATGTAGGATTCTAGTTGTAGTGTGAGTGGAGGTAAGTATGTTTTGGAAGTTCACATTTTCATAAATCAAAAATGTATTTCCAATAATAATTACCTCCTTTCACACTCTCCCACTCTTCCCATTAAGAGCCAGTGTTAGAGACTGCGGATCAGGTAAGCTTGAAAAAGTGATAATATTATTTGAATGAGGTGCCTATACACAGTACCAGGATAGAGGGCACATTGACATAGGTGGAAAGTGTCATGAGACAGATATAACCAAGGGCAATCAAGTGGGGAATAAAAGTCTGGAACAAACAAAAATATTTCAGACGAACGCTTAGATGGGCAAAGGAAGAAAACCCTAGCAGTTGAGTAATAGCTATAGTGTGAGAAGAGGTAAGTATTAATGGAAATACATTTTCAATTTAAGAAAATTCTAACATTTAATTCTTGCCAGATGTTGATATAAATCACTGCAGATTTTGAAGATACTGGCAAATTTCTGATTTGACTGACATTATTACTTTAAAAGTTAGCTTACTAATGAGTCACCTATATTTGCAAAATATGGCTAATCTTATATTCTTTCTAGTGGAAAATATAATGAAATTTATTTAACTGATAACTGCTTTGAAATACTTTGCTTTACTCAGTACAAAATTTATGGGAACAAAAGTCACCAACTGTTTTGCTCAGCACCTGTGCCCCATGATTTCTGATCTGCATATATATTTGGTAAAATGAATGTAGCCACAAAGTTATTGGAAATCATTTAAATTTCATGCAGCTGGAAGGTGTGGATGTAGCCAGAGTCATATGTTTAGCCATATCTAGTGGGGTAATGTGCTTTCCAAGTGCTCAATGTTATTACAGCCACCCTTGCTGGCTATGGGGCAACCAGTAATCACTAAATAGGTAACTACTGCTCTTTCAAATGACAATAACATGCTCATAGACAAGAAGTGTAAGCTTTGGTGTAGACTGCTTGCTTGCAATTTGACAAATAAATCACCTCATTGAGGGCACTCGTTAACTCAACTTTTAATAAATAAAGAATAAAATGTACAAAAAGAGAGAGTGAGAAATGAATCAGGTTGTCTCAGAAATAATCAATTATACCCAGGCCATCACTGCTATACTCAGTGTAGTGTGTATGTATATCTGCAATAATCTATAATTTTTAGAGGTTATTTAAATTCTTGTGATTGTAGGGTATATCAGAAGTTTACACAAATAGGAAAGACAAAAACATTTTTCTACATGTATCATAAAAATATTTTACAATGATCATTGTAATCCATTTTTATGACTTGTATGTATACTTGCTATAAAATTGTTTCTTTGTTATTACTTCAGGAAATTATTTTTTATATATTTTAAAGGTTTACTTGGTTTTTACTGTTTTTATCTCTGTTGAAACAGCTAAACTTACCACAAATTCAGAAGATTATGCAGGAGTTTGAGAAACAATCTGAGATTATGGACATGAAAGAAGAAATGATGAATGATGCTATTGATGATGTTATGGAAGATGAAGAAGATGAGGAGGAAAGGTGAGTTGCAATGGGTGTATTTTTTAAACTTAGTCACTTTTTATTTTTGTTTATGAACTGGTAAATTTTGAAATATTCAAACTTCTAGTTAAAGTTATTACACAGGAATGACTCAAAGTTTTCTGTAATTAAAGCTCCACCGAAGGTGGACAGAGGCTATAGTTTCATCCCTGTGAGTGTGTATGTGTTTGTCAGCAAGGTTTCTTAAAAATGACTGAATGGATTTGTACAAAAGGTGATATATATTTGGACTATGACCCAACTTAAAAGTGACTAGTTTTTGGAAGATCATGTCTTAGGAAGGTCATGAAAATAAAAAATTTCTTATCTATTAATATGGAGACTGATTTTTGAAACTTTGTGGACTATGTAGAATATAATTCTTCATAGTCTTGCCGAATATGATCAATGTTGCCTGGCAGGGGTATGTACTCTACTGAGTGCCCCTCTAGTTTTGTGTTCAGTTCACAAAATATAAAATCTAACTTTAATAATTGCTTTTTTTTTCTTTTTGTAGCATACATTTTTATGGAACATGGAAATTATAATCAAATGAATATGATCAATGTTGCCTGGCAGGGGTATGTACTCTACTGAGTGCCCCTCTAGTTTAGAGTTCAGTTCACAAAATATAAAATCTAACTTTAATAATTGTTTTTTCCTTTTTGTAGCGTACATTTTTATGGAACATGAAATTATAATCAAATTTCAAACCAGTATAGATAAGCTTATTTTGCTTACATTTTAAAAGAAATTAACTAAGCATGATTTTCTTATAAAATCATTAAAGTAAGTATTATGAATTTAGATACAATTGTTCTTTTAATGTTGCAATACATTATTGGTATAAAAATTTGCCTTTTAAACTTAAAATGTACAAAGCACAACTTCAGTATGTTTAGCATATTAATTTCATATTTTTCAGATTAGCTATGTTCTGATGGACATTTACTGTTGAAACTTAGTTGAATGGACGAAAATGTTTTGAAATGTCCTCTTCTACTCTTGTGTTTCTACAACAGGCAGTTGTCGTCCATTCAACTAACTTTCATCATAAATACTCTGCCTAAACAATCTATCAAAGGGCATTTACCCTTGCTTGTAGATTTTGAATGCTTTACACAACCTAATGTAGATGCATAACAATATTGATATTAAGAACAAAAATAATGCTCAAGATTTTGTAATATTAATATTCAGAATGTTACTTACCTCATGCACAACTGCTGTGGAATTTTCTGTGCATGCCACAAGCCTTGAACAAACTCCCACACCTACACGTGTTTACGTGTATTGTAGAATGAGCTTATGATCATGTACTAGTGCTCACAGGGATTTTTGTGCATCAAATCTGTGTCGCCCTTATACTGGTGAGGGTTAGAGCATTACGATGATTACCTCATAGGCTGGTTTCCTCTGCATTGCCTGTGTTAACACTTTTTTTTCCCCCTGCATTTAGTTTTCTGATGTTTTGATTGATTTTTTTCTTTATTTCCTTTGCACTTGTTTACAATTTTGTGTTGCCTGTAGTCACCACATTTGTTTTGTTTTTTTCCCATACTAAAAAACAAGAAGTAACCCGTTTTTGTTAGTGGTGTCAACTCTTTATTAGGAATTCATAAGTCCATGTTTCTTGACATCCAGAGGCTCCGATGATCCTATTCAAGATTCATCTACACCTGTTATAATAATGAATGGGGGTGCATTATCTGTTTAAGATGTTTCAGTTTTTGCTGGGCTAGTTCTCTTTTGCCTGCATATTCCTCAATTTTAATCCCTCATTGTTCTGTTTTCTTACCTTTGGTGGAGCCCACCTCACCTGTAGTTGATTTTGACCAGTACTTTTCTCCTCCAGTCATTGCTTTGGTTCTGATTCTTCTCTTCCTGATAAGGAATAGGTGCCTTCTTTTTTTTTGTTTCCTTGGCTCATTAATCAAGTCTGTGACATTTTTTTCCATTTTACCTGTCAATCCTGATGCTTCTTGCATTCCTTTATTTCATGACTCTCTGTTTAATAATATTCTCTTTTTCTCTTCCATCCCCTAACATGCATGCCCATGCTGATAATTTTTCCCAATTTCTTGTTGATCAACATTTTCCTTGTCCTGTTTTCTTCATGACTCCTATTCTATGAATATGGTCATGGCTCTTCTGTTTTCCTTGAATCCCTTCTGTTTGCTTGGGACACTTCTCTTTTTCCTTCATTATGTCTTTCTTTTCACCAGTCTACACATTTTCATCTTACCTTTACCCAGCTCCATTATATCTCTACTTTTCACTCCTCACTGAAGCTCTCCATTGTGGTCCATCAGTTTTGTTGAGGATGCCTGTTCCTATTTGTTTTCCACATTCATGTCTATTTTTTTTCATCTGCTGTCTCCCTTTTAACCTGGTTTCTTTATTTTGGGGATTTCCTTATTCAAGTTGTTTCCTTCCTAGTGTATGCCTGCAGGTTTTGAAGATTGTAGCAAATTTCAGGTATTAGTTTAACATTATTCTCTTAAGAGTTAATTAACTAGTTAATGATCTATATTTGCAACATATGAGTTATCTTGTATGATTTCTAGTGGAGACCATGATGAAATTTATTTAAATTATGATTGCTTTCTTGTACTGTACTGTATTCAGTACAAAATTCATGGATGCCAGTGTCACTTAACTGTTTTGCTCATTGCTTGTGCCCCATAATATAGAATTTATGATCAGCATCAATATTATTAAAACTAATGTGGCCCCCTCCCTCTCATATTTATGATCTTTTTCTTGTCTGAATCTTCATTGTCTTCTGGATGCAGCATTGGTGGCTGTCTCCCAAAATAACTAATTGTTTATTGACATTGCTTTGTTGTCCAGAGAATTGTTTCTGAATCAACTTCAGATGGATGGCTTTCTCTGTCTGTATTGGGCCCTCTTTCCTGGGCTGTGGCTGACCAGAATTGAGATTTCAGATGTCTTCCCTCAAATTGCCATTTGTCCTATGGTCCATTATCTCCTCCATTTTGTCCACAATGGGTATGCCTTTGAGTTCTGTACTCTTCCCTTTGGCCTGGCAGTGGCTTTTTATGTTATCAACTAGCTCATGCATTTGTTTGCTTCGTGCATGCATTTTCTAGCTTTTGTTTCCATTTTTCTCTTGACTCTGTCTTATTGGGATTGAGCAATTGTTACCTCCACACTTCTTTAGGAGGCCTCTCACTTGGGCTTGTTGGTCAAGCTTTCCATGTCCATTTTAATTTCCACTTAGTATGTTGTCAACCTGGGAGTTTTCATCAACTCTTGTGTGGAATGTGTTCAACCCTCTCTCTTATGCCTTTGCATCTGAGGAATGGTTTTTAGGGCACTTTTTCTCCCTGTGTGTGAGGTTCTCTTGCTATTGGGAACATTTACTTCACTAGAAGCCCGTATCTCTCAGTTGTTCACATGTGTCCCATTCAATGGACTCTGATGGATAAGGGGAACATGTTTCCCAATCTCTTTACCCACCCTTGTGTCTCTACCTTTCTTTGTACATCCCTCACTATTATAGTGGTTTGATTGCTCCATCATGACCCAAGGTTTGTCACTCTCCTCCTTCATCTCATTCTGCATCTTTACACTGATGCCTTTTTCCAGTTTGGGGATGGCTTTAGTCTCAGGATGAGCTTTCTTTACATATTAACATTCTAGAAATGACTGTGGCTTATTGAGTTTTCCAACTTCAATTGCAGATATCCTATAATCTTGTGATGATCCACTTAGACAACTCTACAGTTGTTTCTTAAATCAATCCAAGGAGGGACCTGTGATTTCTCACTCTAGACTCAGTGTTTTAGGTCTACGATCATTGTATTCACCTTACAACATGCCCTGATTTGCATGTTCTCAATATGGTGGTGGATTGCATCCTTCAATATTCTGTTGGATTTTTTTCTCATCTTAGGATTCCTCAGGTAGACACTGTTGTGACTTCCTTCATTTCCAAACTTATCCTCTTTTGGTCACCCATCCTAGACTTGACAACTATGACTACCAATGCTCTTAGACAGTATTGGTCTAATCTCTTTATTTATGCTTATCCTCTTCTTTGCTTTCTTCCACAGGTCCTTTGTATCATTTGATGTACCACTTCTAAGGTTCCATTTTTCATAATAGGGTGTTGTGCTTTCGTCTTGACAAGTGTGATTTGTTCAGTCCCTTACAAAATGTATGGGATTTTCCCAGTGAATAGCCTGCTTTCTCTCATTTTTGTAGGCCTTCTACTCTTGCTATTTGTCAGTATAAATGGGCTGTGTATCACTAATGGGCTCTCCGCTGCTCTTTTTGTTAAGGTCATCCTATTTGTTTACTTCTTACTTCCTTCTTTGGTCTCCTGCTCTTTGTATCATTTGTCTCTTGAGAAATATTTTCTTCTTGCTTATGGGCATTGTCATTTGGACATTTATGCCTTGGACACCTCTCATACTCTTAGCATAAAGGCTGATTGATGTTATTTCCAGACTGCTCCTTTCTTATGAAGAGATGGGCTGCCTGGGAGGGCAGTTGGATGTTTCCCTGTTTAAGAAGGATGTGGTATCCACTAGGTAACCACAGTTTCATGGAAGTCATGCCCCATGGGTTTTTCCATTCTGTTCCTATTTCAGAAAGGAGCTCATCTTTGTAATTAGTCTGCACTGGTCCCTCCACCATTTTCAATGTGAGATTCTAGCTTTTAATGGTACAGAGAGGTAAGTAGCATTTTTTTACCTGTGAATGTATTTCAGAAAGATACTTACCATGTTTCCACCCATCTTTCCCACTTATGATGAATTTTCTTTGGCTCATCAAGAATGAGCCTGGAATTATGTGTAAGTGCATACAGGGATTACTGTGCATGGAAGTTGTGTCGTCCTCCTGTTGGTGGAGGAATACATCATAGGGTAGTGCAATACATGTGGACATGTGTAGGAATGGGAGTTTGTTCAAGGCTTGTGGCATGCACAGGAAATTCCACAGCAGCAGGTAAATAGCTCTTAGTGGTGTGGAAAGGTAAGTATCTAGCTGAAATACATTTTCAGGTAAGGAAAATGTTAACTTTATTTAGTTAATTTTTGCCTTCTATTAGTACAGTCATACTTGTTTTAATAGCCAACTTTCTTTAGAAACAGCTTTTTATAAAGGAAAGTTTTCTTAGTTTCATTCAGTTTCCAAAGTTTAAAACTTTTCATATTTCCGTATTTAAACAGTGTAACCATGGACTTCTTAAAGTCCAGCTGTATGTAGACTACCTTGTTTGCACATACTTTTTCATACATAATTTAACTAGACTGCAAAAACATACAGAATTGAAACTAATCTCAACCCTGTCTAATGAATGCATCTGTATTATTAATTACTAGTTCAGTACAGTTTGAAGCTTGGAAAATTAAAGTAGAGACCTTCTAATGTTTTTTTTACAATAAACTTTATATTCAAATTTATTACCATGTGCCTCAAAAAAGCAAAGCAAGTTGATAAAGTTTCAGTGTTTATTGTAAATAAACTGTTAAAGTATTCCAAAAACTGAACAACATGTTCAGGATTTGTAAAGATGGTAAAAATATTGTGTTCATACCTTTAGTGGTACAGCAGTTTGAAAGACATCATTCATTCTTCTAGCCATTGGTTTTCATGAAAGAGGGATCTAAACTTGATCCCATAGCTACATGATCTATGTAATCATTGAAATGTTATTAAACAATGAATGGGATTCTTTGATAACAAATTTCATGAGTTTTAAAAGCATGTTTAAGGATCAACAAACCATTATCATTGTCAGTATAAACTAAGTCAGGACTTAGATGTATAATTTCTTCTAAAAGGGATGTTAGTATGAAAAGACTTCATCAAAACTAAGACATTAAACCTTAATATAAAACTTAAAGTTCTGTATTTCACTTGAAAATTCAAAATAATCTCTTAAAGGTAATTTACTCTTAGTAAATTTTTCCAAAACTTTAACTAAAAACTGTGTTGGCCCCCCAGTGGCACAGCAGTATGTCTGTGGACTTACAGCGCTAGAAACCGGGTTTCGATACCCGTGGTGGACAGAGCACAGATAGCCCTTGTGTAGCTTTGTGCATAATTAAAATCAAACAAACAAAACTGTGTTGTAACTTAGCTATAAGTACCAATGTTTGAAATTATAGGTCTCAATAGCCCATCTTAGATAGTCCACGAAACATTTCTGGATAATGCCTTGATGGTTTAATATCTAAATATTCTGTTTATGTTAGTAAATTGTAATTTACTTTTTAGAATGTTAATAAATATCACTTTATATATAATCTCTGGTTTTTATTGGATCCTCCTAGCTTTATCCAAATAATCTAATCTAGTTTTAGTTGGATCTGTCTGCTGTGTCTAAATAATCTAGCTTGTTCAGTATAACAGTCCTATTTCTATCAACCAATTTAATTATGACAATGTTCTCATTTTTCCTCTTTACTTCCATATGAAGACCCATGTTCTTAACTTTAGTTATTGAATTAAATAAGTCATGAATATTCTGCTTGAGTTCTAATATTACTGAAGAATCTACAACTTTTTGAACATGTAGATAATTTTGATAACTGTTTTAGAAACTGTTCAAAATTTAAAAATTATGGGATCCACAATAGCCAAAGCTATAATTAGATTAAATTGGTCAAAAGATGGATCTATGAGCTAAAAGTTTGTACTAGAAAAAAAACTCAGAACCATTCAATGAGCCATTATGCTGCAGATAATATATCTTCAAATTCCAATTTGTTAGCTGTAATGAACTTAAAATCACGGGACAGTTTTTCCAATGTCACTGAACTTGTAATATAAATAATTGAAAATTACAGTATTGGTGAGTTTTATAATTTAATTATTTACTTGATGCCATCTTGATTCATTTAATTTAGCAAAATGTTTATATTGAACTAAAATGTTTATTCTTTTTCTCATTTACCTAATTTTGTAGTGATAGAAGTCTAAGTTAGTGGCTTGTTTAAATATAACAAAAGCTTCTGTTGACTAACATATTAAAAGATTTGTGTAACAATTTTTTATTTTAGCAGTTATCTTCAAAATTTATTATACTGTTTAAATTGATAACATTGAGATATGGAGATATTAAAGATTAGAAACTTTGATATAACATTTAAATGTTTACAGTCATTCAAAAAATGTACACGCTAACTCATTTTTAAAAAATCCAAGATTTATTTATTCTCTTCTTTTCTGAACTGTGATAAAATAAGTTTATCACAGTATCTTATAATCATATTTTGAATAAAGTTGTACTTTAGAAACCTGTTAATAAATTTTTCTAGCATGTTCAGTTTATCCCTCTAAGCATTTGTTAATTTTTAAATTTGAAAAGTGTATATTTTTGAATCTAGTTACTCTGCTTGTCTTCTAGTGACACTGAGTAAAATACTAATTTTGTATTTTACTTGGGATATCCACAACAGTGTTTTTAAATGTAAGGATTGTGTGTGTGTTATATTTTTATTTTAGTGAGGCTCTGGTGTCCCAAGTACTAGATGAATTAGGTTTACAGCTATCAGAGAAGTTGACAGGTCTTCCAAGTGAAGGAGGTTCACTTAGTGCTGATTCTCAGAAGAACAAGCCTGCTGTAGCATTAACAGGGGCTGATGCAGATCTGGAAGCTCGTTTGGAAAACCTGCGAAAAGATTGAAGAAAGTTAATCAAACAGAGTAACTGTAAAGAAGTAATTAAGTCTTTAAAATTCATATCATATGTTAGATTGTTTGTATAGTTAATTAAATTTGTAGTTTTTAAGCATAAATTAATTCATCAAATTTATTTCATTGACCTTTTCCAAATGGAAGTTCTCAGATTGAACTTCTTTTGATTTCTACAAAATTTAGTATTTTATATAAATTAATAGTTTTCCAACTTTGTATTTTAAAAGACAGGTAAATTAGGTAAGTTGTGGCAGTCTAGTTTTATTAACATTGCAAGACATTTTTACATTACTACTGAAACATTTCATACATCGTACTTAAAAGTTTGGTAAAGTAATTGATACTGGAAAAGAAGTTAGTATTATTATTTTACCTCTAATTGATTAAAAAACTGATATTGTTTAGCAGATTTAAACTTTCTGCTGCTATCCAGAAAATTTTCATAAGTATTAAAGGCAAACAAAAGTGTGTTGTTTTTATAGATACAGCTGGAACTTGGAAATTCTGAGCTTAAGCTTAGTACAGCTTGGATTGAAAGTATTTTTATGATATTGTGAGAAAATATTCACAATCTGAAGAGTTTGAAATTATCAAACATTTCTTGTGCCTGCTACTACTAGAGTAACATTTTACTTGCACCAGAAAATTTTAACATGCATTTTCATGGTAACTGAAGCAAAATTGATTTACCCTTCAAAAACAAAATTTACATTAGGTCTTGTACCTTTTTTCTGATAGGATTGTTTTTCCAAAAGAAGCAACTGAAGTACTGAACCCTACATTTAGATCTACATGAAAATGGAGGGATAAGACAATTTCTTTGCAGGGAGAAAGTTTAAATAATTTAAAGGCTTATAGACAGTGATAGGATTTATTAGTGAATGAAATTTTATTCAATTTTGAAAAAGATACTGCAGAGAGATCAGTATGGTGAGCAATAAACTTCTACAGAACTTTAAGTCTGTCCTTGTTTACTCTAAAATTAAATAGGTTTGTATACAGAAATTAACAGAAATTGATCAACCAAACACTTGTACTTCTTGGTTGCCTATACACGGCCTTAAAATTTACTGGTTGTGTAGTTTATATAGATATAGCATATATGGAACAAGCTATCAGGTAAAATTTATTATTAATTTACTACATATACTTAGTTGTGCTACCTTACTTCCATTCCCAATGGTTTTCTTAAAGAAATCTCATGCTGTTTTTTATTGACTGTTACATTTTGGCACTTGAATTTCATGCATGAAAGTCTCCTGTAAATGTTGGTCTGCTGTAAGTGTACTATCTTCTGTTGCCTGTATTGCATGCAACATAACAAAAACCTACGTACCAGAATTCAGTTTCAACTACATGAAATGTGACACATGATTTGATGCTCATATAAGTCTTGTTCATTTATAAGTGGCAGATAATATACCTCACTTATCATAAACAACAGGTGGTGGTCAATTTCACAACTTGGCAGTTATGTGTGTAAATGTGGTTTGAACCAAATTAAGTTTATACCTCATGTAAGTCTTGACCAGAGAGAATTGGCATTTAATATACCACTCCCTGCTTATCATAAACAAGAATTGGCAGTCAATTTCACAACTTAGAAAATATATATATTGATCATTTTTATGGATTTTATAAACATTTTTAACAAAAGAATTTACGTACATACAATGGAAGTTCACTTTACATTCACCAGATCTTATTCTACTCTTGAAACATGAGAGTTATGTGGTAACTTTTGAACCCTAAGATGTACATGTAGTATTATGTTTACACTCTGGAATTACTAGGACTTGGGAGTAATTTTCACTATATGCTGTTCATCATTTAAAAAATAATGATAATAATGATAACAACAATCGAAAATTCTGAACATTAAAATTTTACCACGAATATTTGGCACTTAAAAATGGTAGGGCATTACATTGGGATAGAGAATTAATGCAGTAAAAAAGAAAACATTTTGTGTGTTGCAATACTTGCCTGGAGAATTTGCATTCCCCAAGCTCATTGGCTAAAAGCTTTATTGATATATCAAGCATATTTGAAGAGATGAAAAGTATGTCTAATAGAACACCATATTTATATTATATTTACTCAGAGCTGTTATATGGTGCTAAATATTAATAAATGTTTCAAATGAATTAGGTGGAAGTAATTAATATTGTAGGGAAAGGATATATTTTTCTCTTTGTTTGTGATTAATCAAAAATAACCTTGCTGGATTTAATTTATGCTTTGATGATGATGAAGGATGCAACCATTATTTGGTCATTTTTTCCAACTGACTCAGTGGCAACTCTGTTTATGGATATTGCATTCACCTTTAGCTCACTTAGTATAACACACTCTTGCATGTAACAGGTCTCAGATTTCAGTCCATGGTGAGGTATTTTTGATGTCATGGATAACTTATTGAACTGTGATGATGTGCATCAGGTGGTTGTTTCCTCTCTGCTTATTTATTCTCTAGTTAAGGTCCTTAGTTGTTTTATTTCTTTGACTTCTGTGGAACCTGCTTTACTTTTGAAGGATTCTGGCCAGCTTTTCTACCTCTAGCCTTTGTTTTTGGCTCTTCACTTTGTGATGACAAACATTTACTTCTTCCAATTACTTCCATTTGTTTTTTGGTTTTCTGTGCTCATGAATCATGTATGTATGATATTATACCTTTGTTAGCTGTATATCATAATGTGTTTTTGGTTGTTTTAATTTGTGTGCCCCTATGGCCAAATTACAGTGTGGTCCCACATCTTACGTATCTTACTTGTCTTTGTGACTCCTTTGCTATGACCTCAGGTCTTGGCCCTTGTATATTTCTTGATCCCAATCTCTTGTGTCCTTTTTTCTGCTTGGGATACTCCTCTTTCTCCTTCTTTGTATTTTCTTTCCAGCTATTTGTTTGTTTTTGTCTGTCTTTAACCTACTCCTTTAATCTCCTCCCTGAGGCCCTTCTTTTTGGTCCCAGTAGTTTTGGTGGGGAGAATGGTAGTTTCTACTTCTTCCTCTCCTGTCTCTATTTTGACCTGGCTTCTTTGTTGTTGGGATCTCCTCAGTCAGATGTCCACATCCCTTCCTCTTATACTTTGAACCTTTAATTTCACTCTTTTACCAAACAGTGATATGAAATTTCTAGTCCAAAATAACTGTAGGTATCTAACAAACATGACACTTCATGTCAATGGAAGCTGTTACTCATTGCTGCATATGCAATAGAATAGACTTGCCAACTTGCTTGTTGCCTTGACAATGGTTCTATGCAAAGGATTTGTTTCATCTTTTCTGCAGCAAAAGCAACAACAGAACTGTTAAACTCAACAGTCACTATGGGCTCTGGGTAGTGCTGTCTAGCAAAGTTAATACAAACTTGTGTAAGCTCCATAGTGCAAATAACGAAGTGTTCCTGGCTTTCTTGCCATTCTTGTTGTGTTTTCAAATTTCTGCAGGCCTCTGACAAGTTAAATGAAATTGAAGGTTCCACTTCGACGCTGGGGTTGTGGGAGCATTTACTACATCACTGACTAAAATAACTTGCTTGTTCTTAATGGAGTTTTAGGTCTTACTGGTTTATATACTTGGGAGTGTCAGGTGCACTTTAGATCTATTTCTCCCCATTCACAATGCTGTTTATTTCAGCAAAATATTAATCTAATTACTACAAGAGGATCAGAGATTTTGTTAGGTCTCCTGGCACATAACCTTACCCCTATCAAGGCCTCGTTCGTGTAGGAAATCAAATTTAATTAATTTTTTGCTAATTTTTTCAGAATAATTTAGCGAGCTATGTAGGAGCCTACAGCAGCATTTGAAGATTTGCATATTCATGTAGGAAACTTGATAACATATATCTTCAGTACTTTGTAGTCTATTGTAAGTAGAGAATTTTGTATTGTTTTTAATTTATTTATTTTTGTATGTGGGTGCTTTGTTTATGCATCACGGGCATGTATATTCTATTATAGGACATATGTATTTTTTACATATTTTAAATGTTTTCAGCTGATGTTCCACTGTTTTTGCCTGTTAGACTTCTCACATAGTTCGTGCATTGCCAAACTCTGGTTTTTGTATTATTTATGTATTTAACCCACATTTGTTTCAAATTGTAGGTTAAACCTAGGAATTTTGCTGATGTTGCAGCTTGGAGAAGTGTGCCATTCATATATATTTTTGATGGGTGTTTAGTAAGTTTTATTAATTTTGTGAATACTACTACTTTTCAAATTTAGGGGCATGGTGTTCACATACATGATGAACACCTATAGATCAGTAATCAAAATTCAAATTAAGAAAATTTTAAGTGCCTCAAGTATATTGTGACTGGAGCCCAAATCAAATGAAAATAACTATATTTTCCAGTTCAAGTACATTTTATTTTGAATATTCAGAACGTTTATTCAGTACAGTGGATTCCTGTTAGTTGCAACTGCATTTTACCAGCTTTTTAATTGAAATTGATAAAGAATTGAAAATAGTGATGTTTTTAAGTCAGTCACTAGTGAAAGGACAGGAAATCCTTTTAAGGTATAGAAAATTGCAATTAACAGAGTTGCAATTAAGTGGAATCCACTTGATCCTATAGTTTATTCTGCATTCATTATGTTTCAGCAAGAAAAATGTATCCTTAACACTCAACTTTTGTAGCAACTTTGCAATTTAAAATTAACTATGTCTGAACCCTCAAATTTTATCATCATCAGCGTATCAAGATTTTCAAGAGTGAGGGAAGTCCATAAACATGTTTTAATTATATTTTTCCTGCTGAATCTGTTTTCAATATATAACAATGATTGAGGACATATAAGGCAAATCCTAGCTGTTATAAACATATTTAGGTACACTTCATCATGTTTTGTGAAAATCTTGCTTCAGACATATGAGCTGACACTTTTTTCCTTTAATATAAACTTCATCAGTCTTAAGGAATTTACAAAGAATATCTGTTTACTTGTTTCCATAGTCTTTCATCATCCAAAGGTGGAAATGTTCTCTGTAACAACACATCAAAGCAATCAAATGA